CTGTAGAAACTAAATTGGGACAGTCCTTAAAGCAACAGCTAAGTTTGACATTAAATACCAGTGAAGCAAGTTGTTATTCTGTTGGGATCCTGGATGTGTGACTTCCCTTTCACTAAGAAGAGCTTCATCCAAGCAGTTGTGCTTCATAGTTATTTATTTATTTATGCTTTCTCTTTTAGGTGGTAGCCATTGATCTAGATGAAGGCTTGAATGGTCAAGTGTCATATCGCATGCAGGTGGGCATGCCTAGGATGGACTTTATCATCAACAGCAGTAGCGGTCTTATCAACTCCACAGCTGTGCTAGACAGGGAAAGGATTGCTGAATACTATCTGAGGGTGATTGCAAGTGATGCCGGTGTGCCATCCAAGAGTTCTACCAGCACGCTCACTGTCAAAGGTGATTGAAGGATCAAAGCACTCTGCTTGCTGTCTTACTATTACTGTTTCCTCATGTTTCAGATATTTCTTGAGTGTAACTGGGTATGTCTAGGATTAACAGAAGAACGTCTTGGTTCTTAGCATCATAGAATCGTAGAATTGGAAGGTACACCAAGGATCAGCAAGTCCACCTCCCACCAATGCAGGAACTGACAGCATCCCTGTCAGGCAACCAACAAGCCTCTGTTTAAAACCTCTTAAACCTTAGGAGGAACTTTCTGGCAGTAAAAACCATTTGACAGTGGACAGACTACTTCAGAAGGAGAGTCAACTATCTTCTGTGGTAGTCTGTCCCCTATCAAATGGTTTTTACTGTCAGGAAGTTCTTCCTAAAGTTTGGTTGGAATCTTCTTTCTCGTTACTTCAGTCCATTTGTTTATATTTCTCTGGAGCAGCAAACAAAAGAAAACAAACTCAGTCCATATTCCATGTGACAGTCTTGGAGATATTTAAAGATAGATATAAGAGCCAGTGTGGCCTAGTGGTTTGAGTGTCGGACTGTGACTCTGGAGACCAAGGTTTAATTCCCAGCTCAGCCATGAAACCCACTGGGTGACCTTGGCCAAGTCATATGCTCTCAGGCTCTGGGGAAGGCAATGGCAAACCTCCTCTGAACAGATCTTGCCAAGAAAACCCCATGATAGGATTTCCATAAGTTGGAAATGATTTGAAGGCACAACAACAACAATACCTCTCTTCTAATGCTTAAAATAATTTCCTCTGCAGTAGCTGGAGAGGGAAGTCAAATTAGGATGAAGCTCATTACACAATTTGTGTATTACATTTACTTATAAATGGACAAAATAAATGGACAAAAACACATACCAAGGGAAACACAGAACTGTACAAGACATATGTCTCAAAAGTGACTGAAAACTGGACAAACCTGCACTCTGAGGCTAAAAAAAACAGAGAAAAAAGAAGACCCAACTTAGCCCAGAAAATGTGCATTTTCATGTCTGCATGTAAACACCCTAATGCAGGTACGGGGCTGCAGCAAAGTAAAGAAATGAAAGTGCAATGACTCCAAAGGATGTAATTACAATATACATAAATCAGACAGTCAGTCCAACAGGAGAGCATGGGGTGAAGGGGGTTGAAGGAGGGGCCATGTATGGGGGACCTCCATGATTGTGCTTTGCCAATGCATCACTCACATACTGATTCACTGTTGCCCTGTATGAGTGCAGCATTACACATGCAACAGTGTGTCTGATCAAGGGGGCATCCATGCAATGGGATGGCATTTGGGTGAATGTGAGGGGTACTTGGAGGTCACAGGTAGTGTGTTTGTGCGATGGTGCACATGTATGGTGGGGGGGGCAGCAATAGAAAACTACCCAGTGGTATCGCTTTATGCTGTGCCATGTGGTCTAGCCATGCATATTTCGCCCACTTTGGGAGTGGGCCATGCAGGCAGCAGGGTTTTGACCCACTTTTGGAAAAAGCCAGATCGAGCCACTTTTTCCTGCCTGTCTGCTCCAGACTATAGTTAGTGGCCTTTACAGACTGCCAGAAATAATGCAGCTTGAGGCCATTTTAACT